ATGGTCGTCTTCATGTAAAGCAAAGATTGGTGGCCCCAGCATATCTGTTACATGTCACGGCAATTTCAGAACCAGACTGTAGTCCCCTGCTGATCCTTTGCGCAGCACAGACTGGTCCTAATAACCAAAAATAATCTTGCTGAAGACAAATCACCTGAGGATGCTCAAGACCCTCAGACGCAAAGCCCCTCGGGCTTCCATCCATCAGACACAACGCCACGGAAATCGGAAAGGCCCCCTATGGCCATACCCTGGCGCATCCTACCTACCAAAACTAAGAAGTTCACTTCACCCGGGAAAATGATGGCATCAGAGGCAAAAACTGAAATGCTATAGCTCCAAGCAGCTAAGGGAGAAACCGCGCAAGGTCCAAGGCTCTCAGCCCAGCGCAACACCGGAAGGTGACGGAACCTCCCCCAGCAACTTCACAGGCCGTTTCAGCATTCAGTTCCAGCCGTGCCGTGAAGTGCTTCTGAACATCGGAAAATGAGCACAACCGGCAATCGGGTTGATGGTTTTGACGGCCAACGAAAAGATATGAAAAGGATGAGTCTCAGCCCAATTGCTGGGCATGGGAAAAAACAACGGATAGATGATATAGCATGATATTACAACTGTATAACAGCATCGAGGTTATTAAAATCGGCGGCATACCCCAAAAAAACAATATGCCGATGGTTCAATGATTGTCAACATTGATCAACCCTCAAATATACAGTACACTAGTTCCGTTTGCTTGAAAACGGGTACAAGTGAACGCCCTTACTTACCCCATTCATCTAGTAGTATGGCACAGCGAGTGATGCCAGGGGAAGGAATAGCTGCCCCACATGGCAAATCTCATTGGCACAGCCGCTTAGAAACATCATAGATGCAAGTGGCATCAAAGGTTGAATCACTTCATTTGGTTGCACTTAACCAGTGCCAGCACCCCAGTCTAGCCGCTGGTGTATCATCACTTTCCTACAAAAATGGCTGTCTGGGAGTATACCCCTATACCCCATTTTCAGACATACCCAAATGGATCAAGGATCGAAAGATTGAGATTCTTGATTGATTGCCTTTGTACTTGGTTTTGGTTCATGGATGGACTGGGTTGAATGATGGATTATACTACCTCGCGTGTTCCACGCATGCTTTTGTTAACGGATTGACTGATTGATTTTTCCCCACCTGCCAGGTGAGGGTTGTTAGATTTTATGTCAGTTGCCTGGTCCTCCTCCTCCTCCTCGTCCTCCTCCTCCTCCTCCTCCTCTCCTCTCCTCCTCCTCTCGTTGTCCTCCTCCTCTCGTTGTCCTCCTCGTCCTCCTGCTCAACTGCGACTCGCGATCCACAGTGTTCGCTGTCGGACCTCAACCACGACCACCCACGCCCAGTGTTCCCTGCCGGACCTCAACCACGACCATCCACGCCCAGTGTTCCCTGCCGGACCTCAACCACGACCATCACCGCCAGTGTTCCCTGCCGGACCTCAACCACGACCATCCACGCCCAGTGTTCCCTGCCGGACCTCACCACGACCACCATCTCACGCCCAGTGTTCCCTGCCGGACCTCAACCGCGAGTATCCCCGCCCAGTGTTTCCTGCCGGACCTCAACCACGACCATCCACGCCCAGTGTTCCCTGCCGGACCTCAACCGCGAGTATCCACGCCAAAAGATATGCCACATAGAGTGCCAGAAGATATGCCAGATAGAATGTTAGAAGATATGCCAGATAGAATGCCAGAAGATATGCCAGATAGAATGCCAGATAGAATGTCAGCTAGAATGCCAGAAAATATGCCAGATAAAGTGCCAGAATGTTTGCCAGATAGAATGCCAGCAGATTTGCCAGATAATATGCCAGAAGATATGCTAGATAGAATGCCAGATGGAATGCCAGAAGATTTGCCAGATAATATGCCAGAAGATATGCCAGATAGAATGCCAGATGGAATGCCAGAAGATATGCCAGAACGTATGCCAGAAGATATGCCAGAAGATATGCCAGAACATCTGCCAGAAGATATGCCAGAACATCTGCCAGAAGATATGCCAGGTAGAATGCCAGAAGATATGCCAGATAGAATGCCAGATCGAATGCCAGAAAATATGTCAGATAGAATGCCAGAAGATTTGCCAGTAACAAAATGTATAAATGTCATGGTGGGGATCACACGAAGTAAAGTAATTTGATTGGCTGGGTGGTTGGTTCATTGGCGAGCTGACTGTTGAATGGATCGGTTCTGGATGCATGAGCACGCTGATTGGTTTGATGGATTGATCGATGCGTGGATGCACAGATAGAGTGGTTGACTCGTTGTTTGAAGGCAGGATGGATGGAAGGATGGAAGGATGGAAGGATGGAAGGATGGAAGGATGAAGGATGGATGGATGGATGGATGGATGGATGGATGGATGGATGGATGGATGGATGGATTGGTTGTCTGAAGGCTGGATGGATTTATTGAAAGATTGCTGGATGAACTCGTTGCCTGACTGATTGGAGGGTTGGCAG